GCCACAATATTAACATAAAAATGACTTTCGTTGCATTTGACAATGATAAACTTACCGAAAAGCCGTGTTATTCTCGGTCGGTATAATCCGCCATTTTATTTGAGTGTGTCCGCCCGGTGACGTCATCATGTGCGCTATAGAAGGAGGTATGTGATTCGTTGACTAAAATCGTCGATAGTGGGTCTCGTTGAAATCTCGTTACATAGGCATCGGCTCAGATGTAGGTAGGGCGGAATTAAAAAAATCACAAAATCAAAATCAAAGTAAAATAATAAAATAAAATAAAATAAAATAAAATAAAATAAAATAAAATAAAATAAAATAAAATAAAATAAAATAAAATAAAATAAAATTAGTAACAAAAGTAATAAAAAATAAAATTAAAATAAGTTTATAGCCAAAATAATTAAAGCCCGTACACTACATCAGATTTTAATCAGATTGCTGTTTGAAGCAGCATGGCTGCAAATTGATGGTTAATGAGGTATTAATAAAATACATAAATCTCTATCTAGATAAAAGTACAACTATAGATAACAGTATAACTAAGTAAAAATATTATCTTGGGGGGATATAAGCCCCATGAAACTATGGCGAGGTCCCCAGAATGATATAATGATAATTACAGAATCACGTAATCATTCCATATTTGTAATTCGCATTTCCTTATATGGTAGGATGAAAATACCCCGAAAATATCGCTGTCACTAATGGCGTTACGGTGACAGATTTATAATAATATTGGTGTTTATGTCATAAATGGTGGTTTTGAATGCAAATTAAAGCCAGCTCAAAGTTACTCTGACACAGTATTAAAGGCCCTGATGTGTCCACTTATGTGGTGTATAAAACCAAGGTCAATTATTACTGGTAGTAAGTTACCTACCTCTTTCATGAGTAGATATTTTGGTAAATGCTGCTGCGTAGGCTGTTTATAAGAACTATGCTGATCCACTGTTGTTACAATAGCCCCATTTTTCTGGAACAGAACAAATTGCATATTATGTAATCTATGAAAGAAGGAAAAAGTTTTTTTTCCATGGGTTACTATATGATACAAGTTTCTATTTGACATGTTGTGATGATCATACTTACCCAATCATTTTTCAACATCTTTTTGAAATGTTTCACCAAAGATAGCTCTCTCACATGCACCTAATAAAGAAACAAAGGATTTTTAAAGCCACAATCAATATTATCAATATTATCAAGCTATATTATATCGTATCAGCAATACATTAAGCAACTTTTTCATCTTACATGTATGCACACAATAAAACCATAATTTTATTTCATATCTTTCCAAAATTGTTATCAAAACTTGTAGCCAATAGCATATTTGGTCCAAAACGATTACTAAAAAAAAAAATGTTGCACAAATTGATGGCACCCAAGGTTTAAAACTATCAGATTAAATATTGTGAAAAGAAAGAGCAGTCAACAATTACTCAAGATACAATTATATAATTGCTATGTTTTTCTTTTTCATAAACAAGGAATAACTTTTTTTCATTAAATATTTTTATGCTCGGTAACATTTCTGGACATTGAAATCACTAACATATTTTGTGGTGTCTTTTTTGCATGTGCACAAACCACTCTCATACCTAATACAGCACGTTCTATGCTACTGAGTAAATAGTCTGGGCTCTGGTAACACGTTCTATTTGCTCAGGTCAATAATGAATGATATTATAATATACATGGGAATAGACTTTAATTAGGAATGCAAGAGAAACCCAGACTGAACCAAGTTGACATTTTAAAGCGAGAGGGTCGTCACCTGCAACGACAACACACGATAAAAACGCAAAAGCTCATGGGTAGATGCTTGTTTGTAAACAATGACACGCTATGGCCATCTGACGCATGCGCAGGTGACGACTCCCCCCCCCCCCCCCCGCTTTAATAACTTTTGCCACATTTTGTAAACAATGGTAAAATTATGAAAACGTACATATTACCCATTGTAACATTGCACGTGTGTGTCAGGGGGTGTTTTTTTTCTACTCACAATAGTTCTATCGTCCCTGCGAAGCTGTGTAATGTTACCAAAGAATGCATTGACACCGCGTACCGCAACTAGCATCTTGAAGTTCGCCATTACCACTCTGATGGTGCAATTCTTTCAATACCACTCCGATCGCATCGCAAGAATTTTTGGGTCGATTAATTCCCTAGAAACAACAAAACACTGACCGTTTATCACAATTCAAACAAATTTACAAAACCAGAGATATGTGGTTGGAAAAGTTATAATACTTTTGTTGCATCAAGGAGAGCTTACAAATTGAACTAAGAGACAATGGGGAGTGAGCCCTCTTGAGACAAAGATAGGAAATCATATCAGGAAAGATAAATGTACCATATTTAGTAAACCTGAAATAAGAAAAACAAAAGAATAATTGTGGAATTTAAAGAAGTGCTTCAAACCTGCTCAATAACTTGAATAAGCGGCTGGTCTACGTCAGTTTCTTCTCGCCGACTCCATGTATATTTGTTGCTGGTTTTTAGCTAACATAAAAACAAACAAAAAAAACAGAATAATCTGAAATGAATTTGGTTAATTTTTGAGACATAAAACAAAAATATTGTACCCCTCCCCAAATCACAGTGGTACACCAGATAAAAAACTACAAAAAAAACAAAAAACAACCGATACAACATAACTTTCCACGAGAGGGCGCTAAACTATTTGGTTGGTTGTATACAAAGTGCCAACATCCATCCTTAGTACGGTAAGACTGAAATCTGAGGTTACCATGGCAACAAGAGTTTGACTGATATAAGAATATATATACTAAAAACAGAATACAAATTCCCAGATAATTGTTTTTAATTTTCAATAAATGACACACCAGTAATGGTGTGACATGACTGGATTTACTTCTGACAAGTAAAGGAGTGATCTTAATATTGCAGTGAAATAAGCAGACCAACCTATCATTTGTTTATTGACTCGATATAAAAACTCGCAGGCACCTTTCACAAAATCTCCAATTCAGTCAAGTGATAAACTAAGCAGTACTGACAACGAAACAGGTAATAACAGCTAAGCGCGCAGGGATTACTGAAATAAACCCGCTGGCAATCTAATATACGAACCTTTGCAAGTACATGTTCATTTCTATACCTGAAGTGTTTTAACCACTCCACACCGGTAACTGGCTTGTCCACTAATCCCTCGCTGTAGGAAGAAGCCAGGTAATCCCATCGTTTGTCACGATTAAAACTAAATCCTAAATAAGAGTGATAAAAGTAGGAGATGTGTAAGATAATGTCCTCCAGAAGGAAGTACCCGGTAGTAACCGTGACGATATAAAAACTCTGCTAGCTTAACATAACTGTTTGTCCCTAAAACTGCTTCTCACTTGCTGTGAGGAAATTTAAAAATTGATGTTAATAACCAATAATAAATCACATGGGAGAAAATAACCTTCATTTTAAAATATTTAATAAAAATAATATATGGTTCACCACTTCAGAATTGTGCATGTACACAGGGAGGACTGACAACAAATGTTTATACTGTAAAATAATTTATTTTCACTGGAATTACTTTTTGCTGAAACGACTGTCTGGGCAATTTATTTTTACTGATTTCTGACAAGTTGAATGTAAAATATAGGAAAAAAAGTATATTCACTGGATTTTATTTTTTATTAATCGAAAATAGCGAAAATAAAAGTATTTTACTGTATTCCGCTAGTTACCGGTTTTTAGTGACAAGCTAAAAATTTGTTGTACATTACAGGCAAGATTGAATTTAAAGAAACGTTAAAATGTGTAGTACTGAAAAATGTACTAAGAGAATGTGTAGGATTAAAAATAGCACTAGTTGCATTTAGCCGGGAGGTCATTTTGTCACATTATAACAGATTACTGGAGGTGACATTTTCATTGAATTATAACATAATACCACAAAATACACAAGAATTATATTGGCTGACATACATTATTATTGATACATGTATATCTTGACTTTTCTAACATCACTATCTGATGTTCAGTATGGAGCCTTGCACAGTGTTGTTCAGGTGACACATAATGATGACACATCATCTCTATATCATTATAGACCTATATTTTTTACCCAGAAAGTTTGAATCAAAGCTGTACATAAAACCACCAATTATTCGATAGTGTTACATGATTCTACTACCATAACCCTTTCACTACTATTGTCTACATCCGCAACAATTATGCGTTCTGTCTGTGCATATTAAATTGAAAATCAATCCTTTCACTATCACTGTCAACTTATGTAAATTTCCACAAAATAGTTATGTTTTATCTGTGCATATTAATCAAGTAATTTGCATATCATCACACTTTCATTACTGTTAAAAAAATAGTTTCAATAAGTTTCAGATTAGGATTAATAAGATTAATTTCTGGTTCAAAAACGTCAATGTATTAGAGAACGTTTGCAGGTTTGTAAAAATGAATTTAAACATGAGAAACATGTAAAGAAAAAGAGATGGCCAGCCACGGGGGTTAATTAGAGAAGATGAAACTGAAAAAGGAAAAAGGGCAAAGGTTCTCTAAATGATTACAAATCCAAATCTTCACTTCAGGAGAAAAAAACGGGAAAAAGTGCCAACATTGATTGTATTGAATCATCCAGTTCACACCTTGTTTGCCTAGAAAAATATCTCCATGGCAACCAAAAGGGTGAAGCAACTTGCACACAGGGGAAAATGCCAGAGAAGCGGATTAGAATTTAATCCTTTCTTTTTCTGGCGGTAAATAATTTAGATTTGATTAAGATGTAAGCGACAAGATGAAAGAAACAGCCGTTTTAAATATGAATAATAAAACGCATTTGAGAACGCCGGCCGGAGGCACAGATTACAAACTTTCTCATTCGCCTGTTGATTTCAATCTCAGATAGTCTATCAATTGATCATGTCTTGTAGATGAAATTGATAAAAAAAACATAGAAATTATAGGTTTATTTGGTATAGACCTCAGTAACCTATAAAAGGCTTTGTGTCAGCAACGTTTTCTTTGCCTTTCTATCATCAGTGCGCAAGTCATTTTTCATACATATTGAACAATTTTATTCAAACTTAGCACAGCGATAATACATAATGTCATACATACAAAAAAATAACATGTAATTTTTAAGTTTGTCATGTACAATAAATTCTTTCAAATCCTTTTTTTTTTACCGTGACCCATACAGCAGTATAGGAATCTGATTTGAACATCAGTATCTTTCCAGCCAATATATTTATGCAACAGTTTGTTAATTTTTATGTATTTTTGTGTAAATTCTATATTAATTTTGGACCAAACTGACATTTTTTCTTATTGCCAATAACAACTTGATCAGAAATCTTTGAAAAAAAAATGAGGAGGTATATTTTGTAAAAAAAAAAATTATAAGACTGAATCTTGCATTGATTAGGTTAAAAATACCCAGCAATAAATTTAGAAGTAAAATTGTGTGTTTTAATCAAAAGGAATTATTTTCTGATGGTGTACTTGTGCAATGCTTTCTTGTTATACATTTACCAGTCTTTTGAAGAAGAGCATATAATAAGTCTCTGTTTAAAAAGAGATTGTTAATTAATAGTATCCATCTTTATATATAATTCATAGATAACAATCAACCTGAAATGATTTTTATGAATAATTAAACATTTTATTAATTTAAGTATGGTATCATTTAAATACGTCTAGATGTGATCAAGTCAAGCATAGGACATTAATCGAAGATTTATATCCAAGGCAGTAAATAAGCAGAGTAATTAAAGGCGCAAACTATTTTATTTTATGCATCGTTCCCTGAATGAAATTTAAATCGCAATCCCAATTACCCACATTATTTACTAACAACATCGATTAAAAGCTACACTGACAACACACAAACAGTAAATCTGTAGCCATTTTTTGTTATATTTACAAGTGTAATATATTTTCATAACAAATACGAAAGAAGAAACTAAAGCATCCCAAACAAAATAAAATATGATAAATATTGCATTTTAAGGGTGATCCAGAGACTTGCTTAAGAGAGAGGGGAGGGGGGGGGTAACATTCATTTGAAAATTCTATGTTGCCAAGTGGGGTTCCAAAACGTCTAGAAGGGACAGCAAGTGTCTGTATATGTATTAAAGTGTCTACAATTTCAGCGTTAATTAAATTATAATCACTAAAACTGATCTTCAAACTAATTGTTAATTCTGGGGGAAAGCGACTCACTCATGGCAAATGGGGGTATTGATGGCACATCCTAGCATTTTTCCAGGGTAGTAATCCTTCACAAACTCTCACACAAATCAATCATTCACATTAGAAGACTTTATCACAGAATTTGTTTATAATATGAGGTTATTATGAGGATACCTCAAAGTATGTACGAAGACAGTACAGCAGTACACCAACGCGATGCATACTTTGAGGTATCCTCGTAATAACCTTATTATTATACATCTTTTCCTTCCAAGGGATATATCATGGGAATGCCAAAATCCAAAAAGTTTAGAACAGAATCAGCGAACTTCTTTGTGTGAAGTCTGGTCAAACCCTGGTGGCAGCCATGTTTGTTTTTATTATTAGAAGACGCTTACGCACGTAATCATTCCATATTTGGAATTTGCATTTCCTTATATGGTAGGATGAAAATACCCCGTAAAATACCGCAAAATTACGGCACGCTGTAACTCATGGCATTACAGTGACAGATGTATAATATTGTATT